AGAAAATATGCACAAAACTGTGGTTAAATTTGTAGAACATAGCAAAATAGATATTCGGTGTAAATCTTATGTAAAAATATTCAATAGTTCTTCACATATCTTGCGAGCAATATCCAAAAATCACATTTTGAGATATAGCGCTTTAAAGATATGACCATATTCAATGTGTACCTTGAACAGCTGATACATTTTCCATCAGAATTTTAGGAATTTTGTAACGCGGGTTATTTTGAATTGTTCAGAAGGGACGAAGGAATTATACGTATTTTTTTTCAGAAAATCTTCCAGATTTAATAGTCGTATGTCCCCTCAATTATATTAACGTTCCATTGTTAAGGAACTCTGGGATTATTTTGAGACGGACCTCGTCATTTTGAACCTCGATCAGAGGACGACATTTGAGCTGGCTCCCCCTCTCCAAATTTCCACACAACAGCGGGAGGCTATTTTATTTAACACACAGCATGGTCGCATGCACGTCGATTCATTGGTGGAACCGGATTTTGAACCTGGAACCCTCTGGATCCGAGACCCAGACCTTACCACTGTGTCACGGCGGCCTCTCAGGGGTTAGAAAACGTAAAAATCTTGATAGATTGTCATTAAAAATTTATTCATTTCATGTTAGACAGTAGAGGAAAGTTTGATAAAATTGGGTATCCTTGATTCTGGCGCTATTATTTTTCCTATATAGCAAACAAATACTGAATGACACTGTACTAGTCAAGAAACGCCACAGTCATAGTGGAGTGTTTGAATTCATTGCGTCTTTGAAGTTTTATCTGTTTTAAGACGTCAACTCTCTAATGTTCGCTTGATTTTAAACTATCCTTACTTAAAAATCATTACATTTATATAAACTATATTTAGTCTAGCTTATTATACGTTTAATAAGTATTTATAATCTATCAAACAATGAGGATCTATTGCAATAATTGTGCGGTTCTATTTTGTTTTTCATAAGCTCTGCACTCGGGGTAAAACCGAGAACTTCAGGCGGCGAAAGACTGGGGCAGTCAGTATTGACGATTTCTCCGATGAAGACTATAAAAACACATCAGGCGTTGAATGTTTATGATTTAATGATGTATTTTCTCATTTAAATAAAGAAGAAGGGTTAATCCAATGTAAAAACTGTCTTCTAAGTGCCCACGAAAGCTGCAGTGGCGCGGAGGATGAAGACAACTTCTTTGCATGTGAATTTTGTTACTAATATTCTTAAATTGTCATATAAAGTAAAAATGATTGCAACTTTTCCACTAAAAATACAGTTTTCTTAATTTCCCATAACGATGACATGTGTATCCGGTTTTACCCCACTAGTGGGGTTAAGTTAAGAGTTTTACTTTTTTTTAATAAAAAATATCATTGATAAAAAGAGTAATGAAACTGTGATATTTCTGAAAAGATATATTGTACTTAATATATATTAGTGTAAACTATGACTATTTTAATAAAATGTAACAAGCTCTATGTCGAATATTTTAGCTCGAACAGGCCTTCCAACCTTAGCTATTCGGTTTTAACCCATTTTCCCCTACTGGGTGCTGAAAGAATTAACCCTCTAAGCGTGTTGCACGTATTTTTCCGTCTCTACTATTCATTTCAAAAGCAGATAAATTAACTTTACCAGTAAAGAATAAAATATTCTTAAGATTTCAGAGACTTGATTAAACAAAATAAAGATCCATTTATTCACTTTAGAAATAAATTCTTAAGACTTTAAAGCAAGTAGAAGAAAATAGGTAACCGCTTAGAGGCTTAATTAAACTTGAAGACGAGAAATAAAAATAACTCGAAATAAAAGGTGTGGGGAATATAAATATGCGGTAATAATAAATTTCTAAGTAAGTGTTTCAGAAAACACCCTTTTATTAGTGTGCTAAATAGTAGAGTTTTGTCTTTTCGATTATTTTCTATTTTTCATTCTTTGATTTGAAATATATAAATATATATATGTATTAAAGAATCTTGCAAGCAATTTTTTCTCAAGTTCACTACTAGGTACTCTAGCACACAATTTGTTGTCTAGTACGGGATTAAAATTCAATAAAATTAATGGATTTACAGATTATCAAGTTCCAAAAATATTAAAACAGTGTACTGTTATCGAAAATACAAAATTTTTCAAAATTACATTACATCAAGGAATGTGTGACAAATTCATCTTTGCAAACATTAAATAAGTCAAATAAAATGAAAGTGCATAAAATACTGAAATGATTAAATAACTAAAACTAAAACAAGTGTTTTATTTTTGTATTAACCAATTGTTATCACTTTTAACGTTGTATTCTTTCGTGTGGTGTTGATGTAGCACCGGCAGATTTTTTTTCTTCTATGCAAGGGCAAGTACTGCTGTTGTACCAGCCCTTCAGGAAGCTCAGTAGTTCATTTGCTTTAGGTGTCTAATTTGAGGGATTTCTAATCACAGTGTCGATAGTTTCATTTCCCTCTCTTTGAAACTTAACAAACGAATAATTAATAGAATCTGGAAAAATTTGCATCTCGGGTATATTTTACTAGTGATTTACAAGCTAAATATGAAATTTATTCGAAGATAACAAGCATTTCTTCAAAAGAAACTATTTTATATCTCATGCATATTTTTAATGCTGGGGGTTTTTTTTTGTGGATGTTTAGTACTTTCTTTATGTCCATAATATAGCTTTTAATGTTATTTGCATATCTTTAAGGAAACAATTTCCATTTACGATGCTGGTCGTATTTATAACTGATAAAGAAATGGAACGAATTTCGAGTGAAAGTTGCTTTTTTTTGTTGAGAGCAACGACTATAGATTAATTTTGTTGTTCTTTCAATTTCAGTTTAATTTCTTTTTATCTTAAACTTAAAACAGACTCAAGAAACTTGACGACATAAATCTATCCCCACCAGCTGTCTGTATCCAAGCACGAGCATCGTTTCACTCTTGGATATGTTCTTGGAAAAATTCTCGACTTTTGAAAAAAAAATTGTAAATGCGATGGCAACATAAAGTTATTTTTATCAAAAAATAAAAAAGTACTCTTTTGATTATGATGATAAGATTAAAAAAAATCGGAAATATTTTAGGCATCTTAAACTATTCTCTTTTATTTTTATAGTTGCCTGGAAGCATCCAGCTGATAGCTAGCAAGCCCTTTCGCCTCTTTTTAACTTTCATTTAAGATTTCGTTCCAGATGGACGAAACTGTATATCGCAATTCAAATATTTTTTCAGTATCAGAATGGCAGAGAAAGTCCAGAAAATTTTATAAAATATACATAGAATTGAAAAGAAAAATCAGAATCAAACTGGAATTCAGAAATCAGAATTGGTATAATTAATTTTCTTTCACAAATGATACATGTTAGTCTGGAATAAGTTCGGTTCCTTAGCTTTTAAAAGTAATCCATTAATGTCCAAGCCACACTTTTCCAATAAAATTTTATATTCTAATATTACATCTCGTGTAACCAACTGGAAAATTACTAAAAAAATCCCGCCTGAAAATTTATGATTTAATAGCTTCCTAAACCTACTGTTCCTATTTATAAAAAATCCTATTAATGCGAAAAAAAACTTTCAAAATCTAAAAATATGTAAAATTCTAGGAAAGAAACAGAGTATTCTTACCATTATATTTACTGGTATTCTGTTAAATGCAAGAAATTAATTAATAAATAATTGAAAAGGTTTACCCCTTTCTTCTTTACATTGCAAAAATCTTCTTTCTGAGTCTGACTTCAAAATAAAAAGTGTACATTTTCAACCGAATATTTTATACGTGCTGTCATTGATTGGACGTCGAAGAAACGAGTACTTAAAAATACATTTTTGTTAAAAAAATTATTCTTGCAAGTTTATGATGCATTTTTAGAAGTGTCTCCAAAAAGGGACGTTGAACATTGATGGGTTAATATAAAATTATTTTCAAACGTCCGCTTCCATGAAAACTGGTAAATATAATACAGGGCAAATCCAAATAAATGCCCCGATCTAAAAGCTTTACTGTGCAATAAGTAATTGATGTATTTATATGAAAGAGGACACACTTCATTCGGCAAAATTACTCAACATTTGAAAGCAATTCTCACTGAAGTTCAGTATACGCTTGTTTTGTTGAGCGGCATGCATCCAGTCTGTGAGGCAGTTTTTACCGAAATTTTTACCTCATTTCAAAGCTTTAGTGTGCAACAAGAAATTGATGTATTCATATGAAAGAGGACGCACTTCATTCGGCAATATTACTCAACTTAGTCTCACCGAAGTTCAATATACGCTCCTTTTGTTGCGTGGCATATAACCAGTCTGCGAGGCAGTTTTTACCGAAACTTCTGTAGCGGGTCTCCGAATATGCCGGCTATAAGAGATGCGATGAATGAATTGATACTTAATACTGATACTTGAATGTACCATCGGGCGACGTGTACCACCGGTGTCTCGTAATTGAATGAACTATCGGGCGGCATGTACCACCAGTGTCTCGTAATTGAACGTACCATCGGGCGGTGTGTACCACCGGTGACTCGTAATTGAAAGTACCATCGGGCGGCGTGTACCACCGGTGTCTCGTAATTGAACGTACCATCGGGCGGTGTGTACCACCGGTGACTCGTAATTGAAAGTACCATCGGGCGGCGTGTACCACCGGTGTCTCATAATTGAATGTACTATCGGGCGGCATGTACCACCGGTGTCTCGTAATTGAACGTACCATCGGGCGGTGTGTACCACCGGTGACTCGTAATTGAATGTACCATCGGGGGGCGTGTACCACCGGTGTCACATAATTGAACGTACCATCGGACGGCATGTACCACCGGTGTTTCGTAATTGAATGAACCATCGGGCAGTGTGTACCACCGGTGGCTCGTAATTGAATATACCATCGGGCGGCGTGTACTACCGGTGTCTCGCACTTGAATGTACCATTGGGTCGCATGTCCACCGGTTTCTCCCCCCTAAAAGTAACACCGGTGGTTCACACTTGTATATCCCATTGGACGGTATCATAACGACTTTACCATGCTGGAAGCATCGGTTCTCGTCTGATCACCGCAGTTAAGCATCGGGCGTGGTCAGTACTTGGGAGGGGGAACATGGAGATTTATCCATATTGCGAGGTAGAATTTTTGACTATTGTATCACTTTCTCTTTGTATACTTTGTACACGAGAAAGTGAACAGGCGGATGTACACTTCATAGAATAAATTGTGTCCACAGTGAAAGGCCAGATAGTAAAAAGCTTCTGAAAAAAATAATTAAATGTTACAGCTAAAATGCGCCAGTCGTCGATGAGAAGAACACACCGACACTTGAAATTCACTCTCATTCACAAACAATTCTCCCGCTCAGAGTATAAAATAACAATGTTAGTATCGACGAATAATTCTGTTTCATTACTAACCAATTTAGGCTACAATAACTTCGTTTTTTTTGCGAGCTAAACGTGTCCCCACTACGAATTTGCCGAAGGAATCATATTTGCATATTTTGTCGGAGTCGCCTTCACTAATCCAATATCACACTTTGTGAAAAAGAGCAAAAAGGCGATTTCTTTCTCCCGCTTCAAACTCGGAGCAAACAAGGTTAGAGTTGAATTGGGAAAATATTGTAAGCATGCGGTGATGAGACGAGCATCTCTCTTGTGCTGTAATAAAGCAAGTTTAATTTCGCCGCAGGTAAGAAGAAATGGATTCTATCCGATACAAGGGAGATGGTTGTTTCCTTCCATTAGTGCGAAAATACTCGAATTTTGTTTAAAAATATGATTTGTGGCAAGGAAATAAAAGAGAATGCGTTTAGGAATGTAAAATAAATATTCAGTGCAATACAGCCTATAATTTAAATGAGGAAAGAAAAGCGAAGAAGAAAAGAATATTTAAGTGAAAAGATTCTATTCTTCCTGAAACGTGGTTTCGGCCGATGTTTTCTTAACGAACTATCTAAAATTGACTTGAGCCATTTCGGACTTTTTAGCATTCATACTTTGTATGTCGCGAATTGGAACACGTAACGTATGTTTAACCCTTTACCAGTGTGTCACAAACTCAGTCCGTGTATCGAATTATGGAATTTTAACACTTATAATCCAAAATTAAGTCTTTCATGAACGGTATATCTCGGTAGAAAAATGACCGGTAATCCGTCTGTATTTGCATCCCTTTTTGCAGCAACAGGAGTGCTATTATAGGACGGACATTGCCATTTTGAACCACGGTCGGGTGATCTGGGCAAAACCAGAGCCAGCACCCTCCTCTCCAAGCTTCCGAACCACACCAACGGAAGGATTTAGTGTGCATTAGATTCAGCGTTACACAGTGGTTCTTCGATGGAATCGGGTTTCGAGCCTAGAATCCTCCGGCCGAGTTTTTAGCGTGCAGTTACCAGTTATCAGCGTGCATCTTGAAGTACAGGCACAAACGAAGAGAAACATTTCAAAAATTAATAAAAAAATAAAAAAGTTGGAACTATGAATTGTTTTTTAATTGTGAGCTCATCTCAAAATGTTTTTTTTTCATGCAGGTAACATGTCATTTCGGTGGTCTAGGGCGTCGTAAATTACTGGAAATCAAAAATTTGTTTAGAGTCATTATCTGAGAAAATATTAAAACTGGGAGAAAAATAAAAGCATGTATTTGTAGGGAATTTTACTCTCTTTAATTTGTTAATTCACATGTAGTGTGAAAACTGAAGAGTTTTCGTGATATTCAAGAAAAACTTAAAAAAAAGAAACTAGAAAGCACTTATTGGCTTCTGCTGATCGGTAGCCATTGGGTACGGAATTTTCTCGCTGTAACAAATATAGAACGGTGTAACGCCGCGTTACCTATCTGAAAAAGACTTTTTGAGATGCTCTCTTATTTTTAAAAAACCGTAGTTCCAACATTTTTAGGTTTTATATAATTATTTTTTGAAATGTGTCACTTCATTTGTATACACCCTGTATTAAAAAGAAATAGAGATTCTTCAGCGTTTTTTCCCCTTTTATTATTATTACTTTTCACGCGTTTAAATATTCTATTCAGGAGGTTCCATTTTAAATTGCACTCGAGGCTCGAATAGAGAGAAAGTATCTCGACATTTCCTTTTTTATTCTTCGCTTGGCAACGAGTTTTCACTTGGTATTACTTGCAACAAAAAGAGTGAGGAAATATCTACACATCTACGCTCAGCATGCCAATTCAAAAGCTAGAAATGTGTCCTAATAATACACTGTAACAAAAGACGTCTTACTCTGCTTTAAATCCGAACTTTTCTCAAGACAGTTGATACATTTTGGATTATATGGAATCCTCGATCTATTTCTTTCTTTATCTGGAAAGCCAAAAACGTATACCTCTCGTGGATTTAGAAAGCATTTCAAATGCCGCGAATGATTAAACTAAAACAAGACACGATGATTCTGAAAGCTAAGAATTATGGACTTCATCTTGAATTCATCATCAAGAATTATGGACTTAAGAATCATGAACCGAAAATCAATTTCCTTCTGTCTTTATTAAATAGAAATACCATATTTATTCCTCTAATATGCATTCTGGAGGCAGACATCCCTGTTGATTTTATTCGAAATCGGACAGAAATTTAAAAGTTTGATGTAAAATCCATACTCCAAGTTTTATCCGTCTGGCTTGTTGCATTTTAGAACTTTTGTGTTGACAGACATTTAGACATACTCCCTATAATGGTTTTTTAAACCCCAATTGGCCTAAAACCTGCAGAATCACCGAAATCTGGAGATCGAATATTTCGAATGATTACAATTCTTTCTCTTTTGATACTTTGTATACGAGAATGTAAAAACCAGAATCCCACTCAAAGGAAGCTTTTTCAAAGGCAGTAGTAAACGAAATGGATGCCACTCAATTAGACACCAAAGAGGGAGGGGGAGGAAGTGAGGGAGGGGGAGGAAGTGAGGGAGGGGGAGGGAAGGAGCACAGAGGAGTAAGAAATCGCAAATTCGTGTTTGCGTTGGGCTGACATCTCCTGTGACAGTGGACACCTGCGGGAGTTAGATCCTTCGGTCTGTGTTCCGTGAATTCGAATGATAGAGGGATGTCATGCATTCGGAAACATCTGTCTAGGAGATTTGTGTAAAGGTAACGGTGTAAGCGGGGGGAAAATGTGGCTATTTTCTGCACCGTTCTGAATTTTATTTATCGTTCCATGCCACAACGGCCTTTCAATTTTGAGACTGCGGGCGCACCTATGGAATATGAGGTCCCAGTGAGAAGCTAAAGTGAATAAAGAAATTAAATCTTAGTTTTTCATACAAGAGAGGCGTATATGCTTTATAAATAATTTTGCTCCAACTCCGCTCGTGCATCGAGTTATGCTATTTTTAAACTTAAAAGCTCAAATCGAGTCATTCTTTAACGTTATAAATCGATGCAAAAATGGTCGGCAATCCATTAATAACTCGGTAAAACCAAAGTGTCCGGTACATTCCTCGACAAACTGACGCCAAATCATGAAAAACTCGCCAAACGTCCGCCATGTTCTCACATTTACCATATTACCGTCCTCCATTGGGTTACCACATTTAGTGAATTATCGCCAAAAAAATTCAAATTTGGCGCCGCACCGTACACTTTGGTTGGGCCAATAACTCAAGTGTTTCATGAAAATGGAATTGAATCAATACGACGACTTGTCCCCAAAACAGAGGGAGGGGAGTAATCTAAGTAGTACAAGAAATTACGCCATTAAGGGGTTAATTAACCTACTATTTTGAAATGAAATAACTTTCTAGAGCCTCACTAGATGTCGTTACGAATTTTTGCAGTGAGAGAAGGCATAAGAAGAAATTGTATGACGTAACTTGCACACTTTTTCAAAATGTCTCTCAAGCTTTCATATTCAACCGAAGATGTATTTTTATCGTTAAAAGTTGGTATTTACGCAGTGAAAATACAATAATATTTCTGCAGAAATGGCCTTCATAGATCAAAAACCGACCGACGGCATTAAAAGTGAGTTTGGAACGCAACTTTATGTTTACATAAATCGCCATCCTGGCTCCGTATAGCGTTTAAAATGATTTTGATATCACGCATATCGGAATTTACGGATAGTATGCAGCCTAATAACAATATCATCTTAAAAAAATTCCATAAAAATATATTAAATAGTATGCTGAAACTAATTATATTGGCAACTAATTTAGTTCAAAGAGTTTTATTGATGTGCATCACAATAGCGTATATTTTGATATACTTTTTATGGAAAAAAATACATTACCAAGTGAAATCTACATCGCGATGTTGTCGAGGAACTCAAGTTCTTCAAGTGAACGTGCTCTGAACACCCCTTTCTGTTGCAAATAATTTCATAGGAAATTTTGAAACTGCTCAATAAAAGCCGTTAAGAGTTTTTTCTTTATCGCTTGTTAAAAACTTTCATAATAAGATTTTATGTACCGATTAATTTAAGGCCACCTTAAAATATCACTGAATAAGAATTCCGTTCAATAAAGTAGGGGGGAAATGATTTATGGCTTTGATTCAGTTACTAGATGTTTTGCCCGCATTTTCTCGGGATTAAAACACTTTCATGAATATTTTTTTTTTAAATATAGTATAATTTTTTATAGAAAAATGGGTATTATAATTTTCAATACTTTTGTATAGAAAATTAAAGTACCCAAATTCTTTTATAGCCTGAAATGTTTTTTAATTAAAATGAGAATATCAACTGAGCCAGACGATTTTTAGAAACCGCCGATAGCTAATTTTCTCCAGAAGTTACTAATATTTTCCACATAAGTGCTTCAATTTTGTTCCTAAATCTTGCAATATAAGAAAGGTTTTAACAAATGTTTTGGGACAATTAATTATCTAGTAGATTTTTGATTGATAAAAAGCGTTAAAACAAACCAGATCAATAGGTTTTTCTGCATAAAACTGCTGTTAAACTTTTCTTTTAGTCTTCTTTTGAATTATGTTAATGTTTTCTAACAACAGTGCTTCGCATGCATTCTTGTTATTCACCAATAAAAAATATTGTTACAAATTGTTAATTTTATGCACAATTTAATTTTTGAAAAATTATTAAAATAAGGGCAACGAATTGAATGCAATTGAAACTTGCGTCACTTG